TCACAGACTGGGGAGTGGGAAGATGGTTTCAGGATGATTCAAGGGCACTGAATTTATTGTGCACATTGTTCAGGAGATAGAGATAATACTTCGGATTGAGACATGATTTGTTAATTATGGCCATGGGAAGATAAGATCTAGAGATAGAGTATATGTGGGAGTAGGAATGTATTTGCCTAAGACTGTGCCTTGCATGCTCTATCATTTAAGAATTTAGAAAATGAGGAGAAATCCATTAAAGGGGATTGTCTATATATAATAGACATTGTAATATATAAAGAAATAATTATACAACTCCCCATAGTTTGGGGACCCCTGACACAAACATCACCACAAAGGATGGAAGGGACAGCGTTAAGGTGACACATGAATAAAGCTGAGTGTTTACCTTCAGATAGCTCCTGAATGCAGTCTCTTCCCTATCAACCTTAGCTACTCTAATGGGTTAAAGAAACTCAAAGCAATGAAAAACAAATAAATACCACTGATTTACCACCTACACAAAAAACAAATCTATTATGAATCTAAACCCAGATTCCACCATCATGCCTGACAGTCTTTTTGAGAAAATTGTTGACTACCCTGCCAATAAGGAAGGCACTGTTAAAATCCCTAGCTGGATTTTACCACTAAAAACTTGCTCTTCTCCTTCTCCCATGTGTATTTATATCATCCACCCATGGAATTCTATGTACCACTCATATTACACTCCACAATTTAGAGATCTATTCTTTAGAATCTTTAAGTAACCCCTTCCCCTGCTTTCTCATGTAGTTTACTACCTCATTATTTCATTCAGTATTTCAATTTAAAAAATATTTTGCTGGACATTTCTTATAAGCCATAATACACAAATTCTTCCTTACAGTAGAATACCAACTAATGAATATAACCAATAACTGAGTTTTTTTTTTAATTCCCACTGATAGAGTAAGAATCACCTATCAGTATAAAAAGAACTGTGCGAAAGTTTGATGACAAATCAAAATTTGAGGCATCTTCTTAAAAACTGTCAGCTATTTACTTGTCAAGAATACCATTGTCACCAAAGACAAAGAAAGACTGAGGAACTGTTTCAGATTAAATACGACTAAAGACCCATCCTTTTCTGGATCCTGAATAAGGGAAGAAATTACTCTAAAGAACATCTCTAGAACGACTGGTAAAATGTAGATATGGATTGTATATTATGTTATACTTTCATACTAGTGAGATTCCATGATTTTGAAATTTTTACCAAGGTTAAAATGAAAGGATGTTAAGGCCCCTAGAAAGTAAATGCTAAAGTATTTTGGGTTAAAGGAACAAAATATCTGCCCATTACTAAAATATAATTAATATAATAATAACACTGTATAAAAAGAGAGTGGAGAAGAGGGAAGGGAAAAGAAGAGAGGAAGGGAAAGAGAGAAAATAATTAAGAAGAAAAGTCAATCTGGGTGATTAATATATCAGTTTTCTATATATGATTCGTACAACTCTAAATCTAAAATTATTTCAACAATTAAGATTTTTAAAAAATGGTATAAGATTTACTTAGGGATTTTATGAACCTCCAAAAAGCACTAAATTTAGATAATGTTAATGGTTTCTAGCTCTGACAAACAGGATGTTTCTTGGGATGAGAGGAAAAGTGAAGAAATGCTTTGTATTATAAATTATTCATCACTATTTGGTCTTTTTTATTCATGGCCATCTACTGTTTAAATAAGATTTAAGTTAAAAATACCATTTTCACCTATTAGATTGGCTACAAATATAAAGAACCATTAACACCCATCATATATAAGTTTTTATAAAAATCAGCATTACCATGGCCTAGATAATATATTCAAGGGCAATTTCACAAACTATCCACTGAAATCAAAAGTATACATAACTGATGATCCAAAAATTTCACACCTAAACATCTATTGTATAGAATTAAGAGTCCATGTGATTAGAAAAGATGTATAATTATATACATTACAACATTATATATAGTAACAAAACAAATGAAAACAAGTTAACCTGAATTTCCCAAAATCCAGAAATGGATTTGTCCATTATAATATGTACTTTATATTCAATAAAAAGTCTACAGGTTAGTTATATTTTTGATTTGGAAATATGTCCATGATATAGTAAAGAAAACTGAAAGTTACAAAATAATTTCTAACATAAGGATCACAAATTTGTAAGTGAATTCAATATAAACTTGCATAAGCTCAGAAAAGTTACTGACCACCATATCACAAATGGTGAACTCTTGTCACCCCCAGGGAGCAGGAATAGAAGATGGAGTACGAATGACCATACATTGCTTTATATCACTAACTCATTCATTCTTTGTGGCTCTATTTCAATGAACTAGGTGCCAAACCAAAGTGGAAAGGAGACAGACAGACAGGCAGGCAGGCAGGCAGGCAGGCAGGCAGACAGACAGACAGACAGAAAGACAGACAGAAAGACAGACAGACAGACAGACAGAGAGAGAGACAGACAGACAGACAGACAGACAGACAGACAGACAGACAGACAGACAGAAAGAAAGAAAGAAAGAAAGAAAGAAAGAAAGAAAGAAAGAAAGAAAGAAAAGAAAAGAAATAAAACAAAGCAAAGCAAAGTAAAGCAAAGAAAAGAAAAGCAAAGAAAAGAAAGATGCCACATTCAAACTAGCTTTAAAATCCAAGATTTTGAAATCTTAATTGCAGTTTCTTCCCCATTTTCAAGTTCAAATTTGTATGTTGAAGATTCAGAAAAAAATCACACAAGAAGAGATGACATTCTCTCCCTTCTGGTTTCTATATTGAGCCAATACTGCAAGTCCAGAGGTCAGCAAACTACAGCCTTTGGTACAAATCTGGCTCTTAACATGTTTTTTGTAAATAAATGTTACTAGAATATAGCCTTACTTAATGGTATAAACTGGTTATAGCTACTTTCACACTACAATGGCAGAATTGAGTAGTTATAACAGTATGGCCTGCAAAGTCTGGACCTATACAGATAAAAGTTTGTTGACTGCTGGCACAGACTACAAAATACTATATTGACTAGGTATTATCTTGTGTTTCAGATAACATGAAGATATGTGATTAGGACATATGTTCTTATTATATCCAGAAGAGCAATTTGAATTTAGAAAATATTAATACAAGAAATAGTTTCAGGTAAATGAACTATGGAAGTACAAAAGGAATTTCTCTGTAGATAAAATAAATGGGTTTTAAAAAGGAACACAAATTCCACCTCAGAATCTAGCTGGCAATGAACAAAATAATATAGTAAGAATGATATTGATGGCTGTACAAATTATGAAATTTTTAAACCATTAAGTCTTGTGTTGGTAAAAGTAATTGACATTCAAGGAAAGGGATTATCCTATAATCTTAAAATTCTAGCATTTATTTACATTGCTAACACTGGTCTAGAGATGCCTGTATATTATTGGATCCCTCTATACTATAAACTTATCTATTAAGTCAGGTTATAGGCAATACATTAGTAGTTCCCTGATGACAATGCAGTTTATGTTTCAGAAGTCAACAATTAAAAACTTCAAATAAATAGTATTTTATATGAAGCCCACTTAGGTTAAGCAGAAAATCAACAAAAAATCAGGGTAATGTGAGTAAAATGGAAATCTCTTCAGTATACTGAGATTTTCACTCTAACCCCAAATAAGACAGTACTAATCATATGAAGAAAATGATAGGACTACATATTCTACAAAATGGTATCAACCTGGCTGAAAATGTCAGCACAAGGGTCTGGCTCTACCTTACATTTGTTATATAACCTACATCCTAGGTTTAGGCATTAGGAAAGAAGTGAACTACACACAGACTCAGAACCTGATCTAGAGTGAGACTCATTAGGTTCAATAAACAAGATAACCACAGAAGCTCTAGCCCCGATAACACAAATGCATAAGACTATCTTGTCTGGCACCTGTGGAAAAACTTATGAGCTCCTGATTCAAATGAGGAAGAAAATATCTTACAAATGGAAAAAACAAAATCAAACTGGCCCACCATAAGCACTCAGCTTTTGAGAAAGCCTGGTTATCAAGAGTGACTAAAGTGTCAATGGGCCTATAAAATGAATTAATTACATTTATCAAGCACAAATTTCACTTCCATTTGTAAAGCAAAATATAAATAAAAAATATGAGGTAATATACTACAATAAAGGAAGATACAAAATATATCAACAGAACAGAGAAGTACTTAATAACATTCTAGGCAATTACTTGCCAATAAAGCAGGTCATTTCTATTCCTGGGTTTCTACAAAAGCTGTGCGCCTTGAGATACAAAATGCAATGAAATTCAAGCAAGAAAGAATAATAACAGCATTTGGGTGATGCTGTAGATTGAATCACTAGTGATGTTCTTAGGATCCTCTTGTCCACATGGTCCTCACCTGGGAGAATACAGAAGATACTGCAAATGGAAATAAACAACAGGTTATGGCATAGCCATCCCTGGTGACAGAAGGATATCATCTTCAAGTCAAGTGTTTATTGGTACTCCATAAAAAACAACTCCCACAATCCTAAAGTTAAATAATACCCAAGCTATGAAAACCAGGCATACATACTTTATGAAAATGATGAAACTGTAATTTCCCTCCTTTCTTCTGCCCATTTGTTGTGATTTCGCTACATTATTTCCTATTCCAAATTATCTTCATGACATTCAACCACCTATTCATTCTTTGAACAAGTATTTCCTGTATAGTTTCTTAGTGCTAATATATATACCAGGTCAGCGGTTAAGGAAAAACAAAAACAAACAAACAACAACAACAACAACAACAAAAAACCACAATAATGCTATAATGAAACACTAAAAATAGACTCTGTATATCCCATATTATTTTTTGGAAATCTTTCCAAAACCCAAACTCACTAACACTATTATCCATATATTTATTCACCCTGCTTTCCCAGATGAGTCTTATTCAATTTCTGGTGATACTAAAGGCAAAAAAAACTCTTGATTTTGTTAAATTGTGTTTACTAACAAGAGATAACTATAAAATCTTTGATTATATGTTATCTAAAAATGATCAGATAAGCCACAAAGTAGGTTTTTAGGAAAAGAAATTAATATAAGATAACTCAAACAAAAATCTAATCTATCATCAATATAGCTAAAAAAAGTATGTTAAAAATCAGAATGTAGGCCTTAATTGCTCTTACCTGTAAGAAAATCTCTTTGGTCCTTGCTTGGGTAATATGCTTGAAAAAAAAAAAAAAGGATGTTTGAAAATATTTGAACACTCTTCATTCACTCATCAAATGAAAAGGATATTGTGAATCTACTTTTACCATGCAGATATTGAAATATTCCTTAGCTCCTGTCTGCTCACCTTATGTACCCACTGAGAATATTAGCAATGTCCTAAATCCAGAAAAGGGAACTAAAATTCAACCTGGTGCTGTTATTACAACCCATATTATTTGCAGCAAATTCTGCTTCTTAATGACTTAGCTCTCTGACATCTTTCTGTATCCCTTTCACTCTCTTTTTATTCCCCAATCAATATGACTTCTTTCCTTGTCTCCCTCTACCCATCCACCATTGATTCATTTATTCCAAATACTTAATCTGGATCAGATAATGTGAAATTTACAGAGTGTATGGACAAAAAGAGATTATAGTCTCTGTCCAGATAACATTACATTCTATGGTCAGAGTAGATAAGATTAGTAAATCACAATCTCCACAGCCTACATATCAATACTGCATCAATATTTAAGAGTTTTTTTTATCTATCATTGCGTGTGAATAATAATCACTCCACAATCTGTTTTTTTTTTTTTTTTTTTTTTGGAGACAGAGTCTCACTTTCTTACCCAGGCTAGAGTGAGTGCCGTGGCATCAGCCTGGCTCACAGCAACCTCAAACTCCTGGGCTCAGCGATCCTACTGTCTCAGCCTCCCAAGTAGCTGTGACTACAGGCATGGACTGCCATGCCCAGCTAATTTTTTGTATATATGTTTTTAGTTGGTCAATTAATTTCTTTCTATTTTTGGTAGAGACAGGGTCTCGCCCAGGCTGGTTTCAAACTCCTGACCTTGAGCAATCCGCCCACCTCGGCCTCCCAGAGTGCTAGGATTACAGGCGTGAGACACTGCGCCGGTCTCCACAATCTGTTGATTTTCTATGTTTTATGGACTTCATCTATGGTTTTAGGTTTAAAACTATCACAGACAAACTGGATTTAGCGACCCAGTGGGCTCACAAAAAAGGATTGCTTGAGGCCAGGAGTTCAAGACCTGCCTAGACAACACAGCAAGACATCCACCTATAAAAAAAAAACAAAAACAGTACAGCAGAGTTACTGATTCTTACCAGAACTTTTGAAGAATGAAGTCCACGAAAAGGATAAACAAGTACAATGATTTGGATTGATATGAAAATGTCATGTGGTAAACAAGGTCTCACTTCTTAAACTGGACAAGCTTAGACATAACTGTGGAAAATATGAAAAATTATAACATATATACCATGAAGTATAATATACAGAAGGTAAAGTTGAATCATTCATCAACCTCTGAAAAGTCCCCAAATAATTAAAATATTAAAAATCATTTTGATTTTAAAATGATTAATACTTTGTGGCAAGGCATGGTGGCTCACAGCTGTAATCTTAGCAATTTGTGAGAGTCAGGCAGGAGGATCACGTGAAGGCCTGAAGTTGAAGACCAGCCTGAGCAAGAATGAGACCCTATCTATCAAAAACTAGAAAAATTCCTGGGCATGGGGTGCGTGCCTATAGTCCCAGCTAATAGGGAGGCTGAGGCAGAAGGATTGGTGGAGCCCAGGTGTTTGATATTGCAGTTAGCTATAATAAGGCCACTGTATTCTGGCCCAGGTGATAGACCAAGACCCTGTCTCAAAAAAAGAAAATAATAGAAAAGAAAAAGAAAATTACTTTGTGAACTTAGTATACTTGGTTTTTGTTTGTTTTGCTTATTTACTATCAGAACAATTTGAGAATTCAAATGCCAAACTTGATTTCATAAATAATAAATTTTCCCATGACAAGAATACACCATCATACTTCAACTTTCCTTTTTTTCCTTCAACTTTACATACGTGACTTTATAATTGTATCAGTCTATTCTCATACTAATCAAATTACTATATCATCCCATTTGTGTGTATCTATCAAGCTATTCTAAAACCATCAAACATGAAATAATCACACCCATGCAATAATGTCTCTATGCCTTGATCCCTACAATTTGCCTGTGTTCTAGCCAGCCATACTTGTATCATCAATCTAAAAATCCATGTATACAATATTTCATTTTGAATCCATTCTAAATCTAGCATATTGGCATTTAACCATCTACATCTTCACTAAATAATGATTTCATTAATGCATATACCCTTATACACATCACAACTGTTTATGAAAAACATAAATTTTTTCAAAATATTTATTCTTAATACTTTCATCCAGTCATCTACTAAAATATTCTAGTTTTTATCCATTCTTACATTATTCCATATATCCAATTTAGCATGCATGCATCCATTATTGTATCCTAAGTCCATAAAACAATAGATTATCAAAACATCTTTCCAACCTTCATTCTAAATATCCACTCTTGTAATAATTTATGAACTAATTATTAAATCCACATAATTGTACAATACATAGAAAATTTAACTTACCAATCTTGCATCTGTCCATCAATCCATACTTCTGTCTATTCACTCTTACAACCAAGCTTGAAACCATAAATCCAACACTCCCTCCTAAATGTACCCATCTACCAAGTCTTGAATTCTCTATGTGGCTTTCCATCAGTAGTCAATTTGAAGTCACAGTACCTTCAAAATTCCACTGGCTGAATACACAATTTTCACTCATGAAAACATCCCTGTGAGTCTGATACAATAGCTGTCAGGAAAGCTTTGCTCTATATGACAGTTCATTATTCCAAGAGGATTCTTAATGCCAAAGAAACTAAAAGCCCATAATTCTTGTAAGACTTAAAATGATGTTTGGGCTCCATCTCTCCATGAACAGTAAACATTCTGTAGTTTTCCTATATGTCTCATAATGCCTACTTAAAAATAATAAAGTAGGATGAGGAGAATGGGAAAATGTCCCAGAGGGCAAAGGAAAACCAAGAAGAACAAAGGAAAAGGAGGAACAAAGGAAAAGGGAGCAACTCCCAAGGCCTAATGAAACATTCTTTACCACAATATATAGGGCCCTCATTGTATCTTTCCAGAGAGATTTCAAAATTTCTATGTAATTGTGATCACTATCACATTTCACAACTTATGGTTTCACAACTTATGGTTTCCCAGTCCCTGGGCAATCATTGATCATGGTACAAATATCTACCTTTTACGTTCAGATATCTCTGGGACAAGAGAACACACTGCAACCTGAGATACAGATTACTACAAATCACCTAATGAGAAGATCACAGTGCTAAGACATATTAGACTTTTACCTGGGTAACACTTTTTGTTGTTCTCAAAGTGAAGTTTACCATGCAAGTGGGGAATAAATCCAGTATTTGAGACCAGAGAGGTGACTTATGATTGATGTTCTTTATCCTTCTTTTACAAGAACATGAAAAAAATTCAATTCTTAAACCTCCCACCCAAAGGTTGAGAAGGACATGTGATTAATTTACCTTGCCCAATTTACCATTAGTCATTTAAGAGCTACTGCATGATTTTCAATGAACACTATCATGGTGATAATGAACAATAAACCCTTATATTGTAGAGATGAGTGCAGTGGCTCACACTGTAATCCCAATGACATGGGAGGCTGAATCGAGAGGATCACTTAAATCAAGGAGTTTGATCCCAGCCTGGGCAACTCAGTGAAACCTTATCTCTAAAAAAATAAGAAAACTTGGCTAGTCATGTTGGTGAACACCTGAAGTCCCAGCTACTCAGCAGTAGGCTGAAGCAGGAGGATCGCTTGAGCCCAGGAGTTCACAGCTACACTAAGTTATGATCACACCACTGAAATCCAACCTGGGCAACATAAGGAGAACCTGTCTCTTAAAAAAAAAGAAAAAACAGATCTGGGGAGGAAGATCAGGATGGCAGACAAGAAATATCACCAGACAGAGTATCTCTGCAGAAAAGACAGATTCTAGCAGAAATTAGAAGAAAGAAGCAAGAAAATAAGCATACATCGGACAAGAGTCGGAAGGAGGGTCACCTGAGACCACAGGAAACTCCACAGGAGGAGGTTGCGGAAGAGATCTGGAAGCAGAGACCTCCAGAGCAGCCTGGAGACCAGCAGCAAGGGTACATGGAATGGTTAACTTTCCCTTCCCTTGCATTTCAACTGCTGGTGGGCTCCCCAGAGGGTGGAGAGACCTGCGGACACCAGCCCAGAGACGGCCGCCGCCAGTGAACGGTATGCCTATTGTGGACGTTGCACCAGGAACCCAACTCTTGCAGGCATCTCCCTGTACACCAACCGAGCCCTGTGTCAGGCGCCATATAGTCTCATTCTCCCTTCCCCCAACCCTATCCTCCGCTACCAAGAGGGGCAATATAGCCACCAGATGGAGGCACCTCCAGGGAACGGGACCTTCCCTTTTGGGGCCCTACAGCTAACTGGGGAGAACTCAGACAGTGAACTCCATACCCGCCAGCCCTCCCAGGTGCTGCTGGCCTGGTGATACCAGGAGAACGGGGCAGACCCTGAGGCTGAGAGACATAGACCCAGCTTGGGGTCCCCATGGGTGAATTGGGACTGGCACTCCTATCCCTGGTGGGGATATAGTTTGAACTCTGGGGCCCAGAGGTCAGACCTGCAGACCAGATCCCGTGCACCCAGGTCTCGCATTGCCCAGGGCACAGAAGGGTTATATGCAAACAGCCTAATGAGGTGTGTGTGCCTTAAGAGGAAGATTAGCATCCTAGAGGGGAACTCTCCTCCGAAAGTGAGGCCGTGTGCCCAGGCCAGGTGGCATTCCTGCGCAGGGAACCTCCCGGCCAGCATCACAGCCATGAGAGGCCTGGTGGCGTGAGGTCTGGCCTTCTGGCAGAGGCCCAGGAGTAGCAGCAGAGTTGGGGAGGGTGGAAAGAAGCGAGGCCTGCTCTAGACTGCAGGTCTCAGACACCCTTACCCCACACGTAGACTTTCTGACTGAGCAGGGCCATTCCAGCCCCTCCCTGACAGCTAACAGCATTGGTGGTGCCTGAGGGCAGGCTTACCCAACCCAGTTCCACCCAGACTCACTCCTACACCAGCCCTCACTGAGGGGGAGAAAAGGACACACCTGGAAGTCCCAGGGTTCCACTCACCACCTGGGGCACTAGAGTGCCTCTTAGAGGAACAAGAGCTGGTCACAAAACACAAAAACAACAGCGTAGCCTGTTCCTCCAAGCAAGCGCCACCTACTGACAGGGATGGCATCCTGCACAGCCTTTTCACAGCACCCACTGACTCATTATACAGGGAGTGGTCAAATCTCACCCACAGACACCACCTACCTACCGGGAGGACATTCTGCACACCCTTTTCATGGCACCTACTGACTCATCATCATACAGGGAGTGGTCGAATCTCTACCACAGACACCACCTACCGGCTCAGAAACTAAACAAAGCGTGTGAATACCCAAACGAAAACCTAAAAGAAAGAAGCAACAACTGATCGACATGAGAAGAAATCAACGAAGGAACTCTGAAAATATTAAGAACCAAACGGAAACCACACCCTCAAAGAGGAGCACCAGCCCATTAGAAATGGAAACCAACCAAAATCAGGCAACCAAAATGACAGAAGAGGAATTTTCAATGTGGTTCATAAGAAAATTCAATGACCTGCAAGAACAACTTGGTAACCAACACAAAGAAACCAAAAAAAGCCTCCAGGACCTGGAACAAAACTTCACTAAAGAAACTGATACAATGAAGAAAAGTTTAACTGAACTGGAAATGAAAAATCAATTCAGGGAACTATAAAATATAGTGGAAAGCCTGAAGAACAGGGTAGATCAGACAGAAGAAATAATCTCAGAGATTGAAGATAACACCTTCCAATTAAATAAATGAGTCACAGAGATAGAGCAGAGAAACAAGAGAAAAGAGCAAAGCCTACAAGAGATGTGGGATTATGTGAAGAAACCTAATGTGAGGGTCAAAGGGTTAGGGGAAGGGAAAGAAGAAAACACTCAAGGGTTAATCAAGCTATTTGAAGATATAATAGAGGAAAAATTCCCAGGCCTTACTAAAGATCTCAATATACAAGTTCAAGAAGCACAGAGGACCCCTGGGAAATTCAATGCAAACAGGAAGACTCCACAACATGCAGTCATCAGACTGACCAAAATATCAACTAAAGAGGCCCTTCTAAGAGCTGTAAGATGAAAGAATCAAGTAACATACAAGGGAAAGCAAATTCAAATAACACCAGACTTCTCTACTGAGACTTTACAAGCAAGGAGAGACTGGGGCCCCATTCTCACTCTT